CCCCCGCTGGACATGGATGTGGTGCGGTCCCTGGGACCACCGCTGGACATGGATGCGGTGCGACCCCGGGAACTACCACTGGACCTGGACAGACGGAGCCTCTTGGAAAGGCAAAAGTAGGAACCCCGCTGAGCGTGGAAGCGGTGAGACTTCTGGGACCACCGCTGGACCTGGACTGAAGGGAGGGACTTGAGGCTTGAGCGGCGTGACTGCTAAACCTTGGATCTGTGAAGGCCATGAATTATCGGAATCGGGAAACCATTTCTGTGTGGAGGCGTTTCAAAAAGTTCCTTACACCTGCGTGTTTCCAGAAACACAGACAGGTCTTAAACGAACCCCGACATGCACGCATGATTAGGGTACGTAGAGAAGCTAGATTGTCCCTGGATGTGCGTCACCGAATAACTCTCCCCCCTCCCTCTTAGAGCACACACACCCAGAAATAAAGGGGCTGCATGATGGAGAAGATCATTTGCTGGTTCAAATCCTGACAGGTACCTTCCTTTATGACATCAGCATCTTCTGCTTCATGTAGACGCGGCTTTGATTTGGGTGCTTCGGCCCACAGGAGGTAACCGGGCTCAACAAAAAGCTCATATTAGCTCATAAAGCTCCCAAAACCGGTTTTCACTGATCCCAATCTCAAAGTCTCTCATGAACAAAGCTCCCAGAGAGCCTTAAGAAGAAGAAAATATCATTTCTATAGCGCCTCTCAAGATAAAAATCACGAGGCGCTTCACAAAAACAAAAACAAAAAAATATACAAAATGTAAAAATATAAAAAATGTAAAAATATAAAAAATGTAAAAATATAAAAAATATAAAAATTGTAAAAATATAAAAAAGCATTTCGAAAATGTTTAAAAATATATTTAAAATGAGCAAGAATAAGCAATTGTGATTTAAAAGAAAAAATGTTAAGAAAGAAAGAGAGTTAATAGGAAAGAGGGAAATCACTAACTAACTAACTAACCAACAAACTAACTAACTAACTAACTAACTAAGGCAACTAGACTTCTTTGGTTTCCTGAAAACGTTTTGCTTCTCATCGGAGGAGCTTTGTCAACTGGAAAATGGGTCAAGCTTCTAATCTAATCCAAAATGACGAAGCTCCTCGGATAAGCTCCTCCTACTCACGCCATGCAGACATCTTTGTCTTCATAACGCTTCAACCACACCTGACGTTGTACACTAACATGTTATGATCAGGTCCAGTTAAGCATCGACAGTTTAGAAGTTTTCCGACCAAGGGACACGGACCGATGCAAACACACAGTTCACATCACTTCTCACGTCGCAAGCGTACTTATTTAGCTTTGACAGGCTCAATGAAACTTACTTAAAAACATCAGTGACAGCACGATAAATGAAAAGAACATCAGAAAAACAAACTGTAACGTGGAAAAAAATCCACTTTCAGTCAGCCGATCAGTGAGCACTTCCTTTTCGTCGGTCAGACCTCTCACAACTTCTTGAATTTCTTCTAACGAGTCTGAACAACTTTTCTTTTCATGTTCTAACTCCTTCGTAAGGTCTTCTGCCTGTTTTTTCATGCTAGCTAGATCAGTTTCATACTTTGTCTGTTGTTCCTGGTATAAAACGTTTTTCTCTTCCAACTCTTTCTGAAAACTAATTGTCATCTCTTCGATAGACGTCTTCATCAGAGAGATTTCCTGGTTCAGCTGTGTTCTTATTTCCTCCTTCTCAGCCGTCAGACACCTAATAACGATCTGTTTTTCATATAACTTGTCTGCATGAGCTTTCCTTTCATTTTCTAACTCCTTCTCTAACCACAGTTCCCGTTTCTTGCTAGCTTCATGTTTCTCTTTTAGTTCAAGGTATGAACCATTTTTCTCCTCAAGCGCGTTCTGAAAACTCCTTTTCAGTTCTTCAAATGAGGTTTTCAAGACAGACGAATCCTGCTGCATCAACTGTTCGCTGAGTTCTTGATTCTGGGCAGTCAGATTTCTAATCATTTGTAGTTTTTCTTCTACTGAGTCTGAATGAGCTTTTCTTTCTTCTTCAAGCTTCTGCTCTAAATGTTCAGCCCTTTGATTAGCGGCGAGGACACTCATTTCATATTGTCTTATCTGTTCCTGATGTGAAACCTTGAGAGAGTCGTAATCCACTGTCAAACGGTTGAGTTTTTTATGAAGAGTAGCCTTCGTGTCTTCATGAGAGTCTTTCTCTGTAAGAAAAGCTTGTTTAAAATGTTCCGCCTGCTGTTTTGCAGCGAGAACGTTGGATTTTTCTGCAGCTAACAGTTCCTTATGCAAAACCAGATGAGAGTCACTTTCTGCGATCATGCTTTGCATTATTTCATGACTTCTCCTTGTTTCTTCGTGAGTTTTTATCCGTTCATCAAGTTCCAGTTCATCCTCAGAAGAGAGATGTGAATATTTTACACTCGTTTCTTCATCTGGACCTTCAGACGTTTCTTGTAAATCGCCGTTAGTTTGTAGATTTTGTGAAGATCTTAACTTGCGTCGAGTGTTTCTGAGTTCTTCCTTCAGCTTTTCGAACTCTTTCTTCTCGTGATGTCTCAGAGACCTTTCCCTGTGTAGCAGTTCGTTGAGTCTAACAATCTCTTGGCACATATTGTGGCTTTCCATTGTGCTGTTTTAGTGATCACAACGGGTGATGTGAGATAGAGAATCTCAGTGTAATCAGATGAGTTAAATTTACTAAATTAGTAAAAATAACACGACGGATATCTGCTGAATTGAACAGAACAAAGTAAGCGAGCTCTGTGTGAGATGCTTCACCTCTGAGGGAGTCCTGCAGAATGATGATGTCAGTCCACAGACTCACTATAAAGCCTGACACCGCGCATGACGTCATAAAGCAATGATAATAATAAAGGCTGCCAACTGACGCACTGCGTATGTCTCACGCACTGTGCGTGTCTCACGCACAGTGCGTGAGACAGACGCATTTGACCCTCTTCACACGCTCTCGCGCCACACCAACGCGCATCACGCACAGTAGGGCTTCCGAAAAAAACCCATGATATTGTTTATAGCATTAGCTACTGAACAACACGCACACAAACAACACTTAAGTAAAACTTTAACTGGTTTATTTCACACACAACATCCCGTCTGGGGTTTCCCGCTCCGGTTGTGAGAGGGGCGGAGCGCTGAGCTCCACCTGCTGTTGATGGGACGGGCATGCCCGGTTCTGCAGCTGCGCGCGCAGCCAGCCGGTGGGTGTTGACGGAGCTTCAGGCCCGATTGTTTGTTTTGTTTTCACTCATCAGCCACAGATCCTCGCACACAGCGAGCTGGGCTTCCTGCCGCGGTGACTCACTCTCAGGTTCCCTCTCATGTTCCCTCTTTAGTTTGTGACGCGGTGAATTAAAACATGAGGAGTCCCAGTGTTTTAATTCACCACTTCACACACAACACAGGGAGCTGAGTCCTGAGCATTTAGCGAGAACCACAACTAAGTGCAGTGGAGTGAAACGGCACAACGTTCTTATTCCTAATAGTGATGGGAATTACGGCTCTTTTTAGAGAGCCGGCTCTTTCGGCTCCCAAGTGGCTCCTCAGATTTTCTGTTGCGTAGAGTACATGTATAACCACAATAATGCAAAACTACATGTAAAGTGATTTGCTGATGTAAAAAATGCAATATATTAAATATTTATCATTTCTATGGATTTAATAACTGATCACTTTAAGAGATCTCCACTTCCCGACTGCTGGTGCTCATTTTCTCACCGTCTTCGTCGCACTCTCCTCTCTCTCGCTCGCCTTTTTCCTCCTCCTCATTCCCTCTCGTCTCCCTCTGCCCGCATGTGCTCTGCTGTGTGTCTGAGTCTGATCCTTCCTCCTCCCCGCCCCTACTGCTCTGTGTGTGGACAGTCTGGACACGCAGTTACACATGTTGACCAATCGCCTGTAGCTTTCACCAAAGCAAGAGGGGAGGGGGGAGGGGAGGGACAGCTCCCAATGACGAGCCGGCTCCCGTCGTTCACTTCAAAGAGCCGGCTTTTAGAGCCGGTTCGTTTGCGACCGACTCATCACTACCATACATGTCTAACTCTAATTTATAAGTTAACATGATGTAGAAGTGTGTGTGTGTGTGTTCAGCAAGACAAAATGATTTTTCCACTTTGTAAACAAGATTTGTTGTTTCGACTCACAATATAATATTCAAACAAAGCCTAGTTATTATTTATGATATTTGTACAAGTTGACATAAGGAGTTGATAGAAAGTGTTCATTTAAGTTGACATGACTCAAGTTTTTAAGGCAGCTATTGAGCTTTCGTTTAAAAGTTATTCTGGCCTACTATTTATTACAGTGTAATGGCTTGGTGTTATAGGCAGGGGTGAGTCGATAAGTGATCTCCGTTCTGTCCAAGAGAGAAGGGGAGGACGGTGTTAGGGTTGGATGGTGCGGACGCTGGAGGAGACCAATATAAAACAGTTACAGTAGAAAATCATCTTCTCGTGTTTAAAGTTGGAGAAGTCTAAACTCAGGCCTGCAATTTTTTCTATCAAATGCAAACTGATGAACAAAAACAGATTTTCACCAGCTTTCATGCGCCTGGCAGCCAGGTCTGATGTTGAAGTTGCGATTATTATTTTGGGGACTAAAAAAACCTCTGAAGTGCAGTTTTTGCACTTTAGTGAAATCTGTCGTCTATCGTTAGTTGTAATTTATTAGGGATTTATTATCACCCCCTATGGTCAAAAATGGTATTGCACCACAATGCATGAGCACATTTAGAATAGAATAGAATAGAATAGAATAGAATAGAATAGAATAGAATAGAAGATTCCGTTATGTTCCTCTGTAGGGAAGTTTTTGTGTACCAGCGGCAAAAGCAGATTCTCAGTATCAAGTAAGATTTAAAACAAGTTCAACAAAATAAATAAATAAATAAATACATAAATATATAATTATCAGGAAAAGTTATGAGTTCTTATCGTTTTTATAAATTTAAAAATCCAAAAAGAAATTAAATGTTTTAAATATTTTTTATAAGTATCT